GCCACACAAACCTACAAGTGTATGAATACACAAATAATGTGGAATTATACATTTAAGCATATAATAGTGAAATATCGTGCATATATACAGCAATACCTTTTCTCATGTTAGGGCCAAAAACAGACTTCAAGCACTGAATAAAAATTAAATATAGACAAAAGTTTAGATAAAATATAGACAAAAATGTAAGCCATTTATGAAAATTGGGCTGTGACAGTTCACTAAACAATGTTGCGTATACATGCTTATGTTACAGAGTCTTTTAATTGCACTTAATGGGACAGTTAAAGGAATGTTATCTTTGAGAATATCCTTCAGCAGAAGTAAACCTTTGAGCATCTCCTGTTATTTTCAGTCCGCAAACAAGTGTATTATTCATTTCATATAGGTTCCCTCTGTAATGACAGAGTGATCCTTCCCATATAAGTAATGTAAAGCAGATGCACTCTTGACACATTTGAATTACCTAAAATGATTTCAAATTCCACTTGTCTTTTTGCTGTAGCTTCTTTAGAATTTTACAGTTTCTACTCAAGGGCTCTAAAATGTACATATATCACATAACCAAGCTATATTCAGCTGATGAAGCTAGTAAGATTTCAACATTTTAGAAGATGGGCCTATATACAATTTGATGTCTTTGTCAGAAGAAATCCAAAAATCAGTTGTTAAATACTTAAACCCTGATAGTGACATACAAAATAGTAAAATATTAAACAAAATGTATTCCTAACATTTAAGGAAGTTCTGAAAAAGAACTTTGCTGCATGAAGAATGCTTATATCTGATATGAATGTTCCCCACCATATTGGTTGGGTTTAAAGATCACTATGGTTTAAAGGGACATTTTACAGTAGGCACCAGAATCACATCGTATTAATGAAGTCATTTTTCACCTTTGCGGTTTCAGTTCCCACACTTATTAGTGGCTATCAAATAGACTTCTGATAAAATTATACTATATTAAATTAAATTCTTCACCACTAAAATCTGAAAGCACAACCAGTCGTTTACCAGACGGCGCTTCCCACTGTTTTACAGAGTTTAAGTCCGTGAAGTGATGCTGGACGTACTCACGCTTTACATGAAGACATCCAGTCTCTTGCAAAACCCTATAGGAAAGCATTTCTATGGGAAAGGCCTAATGTTGTGGTGCTCGCCGATTACGGAAAAGGCGAAAAAGAAGCCAGCACTGAGTAACCTCGGTGCTGAAAAATGGGTAATTGTTTTAAGGGTTCTAATCCATTGAATGCTGGGTGAGGTAGCGGGCGATGTCAAGGGACACTACAGTGTTAGGAATACAGCTCATTTTATGTCCATTGCAAAAGAAAATAAATACAAAACCATTAGATTAATTAATTTATATAAGGCTTTTCACCATCACAAAATAACAATTCACAGTAAGCTAAATAAGATCCAAAATGTAATCTGCAAAAGCATGGCTGACTCACATAGCCCAGTCCTGTAACTAATTTAAACAAAGTATATATTTAAAAAAAAAAAAAAATTATGAACAAAAAACACGAGATGCCATGAACACGATTCTTTCTTTCATACATTTTATTGATGTGGAATACCAATATGCAAACCATGTCCAGAACTATACTTTCTAAGGGCTAAGGATAGTACCTATTACATGATGTGTTAAACCTAGCAAAATTCTTCTTAAACAACTACACACTGCTTAATCAATTATAAAACCTAAAGAAGTCTTTTGCTTGGATGACAAGATACAAGTTAAAAAACAAACCAAAAAACACCCCCACAAAAGACCAAACGTGTCAATCTACAAAGCCAAGCTTGACTGATCTCAATAAGTTTTCATAGAACGTCCTAACCCTGACCAAATCAGTCACCAGAACCAGAAGATGAAAAATAATCCTTGCGATGCGTGTGATACACAATAGGGCCTCTTGGGCCTCTTAAAATCTAGCAGCTAAAGCACTGAAACTAGGCAGAGAATTTGTGCAGCAAAGAAAAAGTGCATTTAAAGGAACACTATAGTCACCTAAATTACTTTAGCTAAATAAAGCAGTTTTAGTGTATAGATCATTCCCCTGCAATTTCACTGCTCAATTCACTGTCATTTAGGAGTTAACCCCTTAAGGACGGAGCCAAATGTACACGTTGTGACCGAAACAAAATGTAAACAAAACCTGGCATTTGCGCTACATGTCTGTCCAACCGTAATACATCTCTTTCATATTAAATACACCCACCCTTATTATATACCATTTTATTCAGGGGAAATAGGGCTTTCATTTAATATCAAATATTTAGCTATGAAACATAATTTAATATGAAAAGAAATGGGAGAAAAGTTTTTTTTACTTTTTTAGTTCTACATGACATTTTAATGGTCAATGTCATAATACTGTTTGCTTTTACTGCAATAAAATACACATATTTGAATTCAGCAAAGTCTCACGTGTAAAACAGTACCCCCTATGTACAGGTTTTATGGCGTTTTGGGAAGTTACAGGGTCAAATATAGTACGTTACATTTGAAATTGAAATTCGCCAGATTGGTTACGTTGCCTTTGGGACTTTATAGTAGCCCAGGAAAGAAATTTACACCCATAATGGCATATCATTTGCAATAGTAGACAACCCAAGGTATTGCAAATGGGGTATGTCCAGTCTTTTTTAGTAGCCATTTGGTCACAAACACTGGCCAAAGTTAGTGTTAGTATTTGTTTGTGTGTGAAAAATGCAAAAACGCCAATTTTGGCCATTGTTTGTGACTAAGTGGCTACTAAAGACTAGACATACCCCCTTTGCAATACCTTGGATTGTCTACTATTGCAAATGGTATGCCATCATAGGGGTAATTTTCATGCTTGGGCTACCATAGGGTCTCAAAGGCAACGTAACCAATCTGGCGAATTTTAATGTGAAAAAAATAAAAAAAGCCTTATATTTGACGATGTAACTTTTGAAAACACCATAAAACCTGTACATGAGGGGTACTGTTGTACTCTTGAGACTTCGCTGAACACAAATATTTGTGTTTCAAAACAGTAAAAAGTATCGCAGCAATAATATCGTCCGTATAAGTGCTGTTTGTGCGTGAAAAATGCAAAAAAGGTCACTTTTACTGGCGATATCATCGTTGTAATACATTTTACTGTTTTGAAACACTAATATTAGTGTTCAGCGAAGTCTCCCGAGTAGAACAGTACCCCCCATGTACAGGTTTTATGGTGTCTTGGAAAGTTATAGGGTTAAATATAGTGCTAGCAAATTAAATTCCCTTTACTTCCGGCATGGGTTGTCAGGCAGGTCCCGCTAATTGTAATTAATTAAGATACCTAATTATGTAAAAATATTACATATACATATATATATATAATTATTTATTCCTATATAGGTATATATAGTGATTTATACGTATATATTTATGTATAAAGATATATATTATTTTGTTTATGTGTATTTTGATATAAATATATATATATTAATATCACAATACAGTTAGAACGAAATAACACATCTATATATTTTTTTTTTTTATTATTTTTTTTATTTTATTTCTTAACGTATTTACATATTTAATTTTTTTATATTATATATAAATATATAACAATAATTATATATATATTTAATCAGTATCAGTCTACGTGTAATTTGATATATATATATATAATTATATATATATTAATAGAAAAATACACCTAGACAGTGTATGTGTGTATATATATATATATATATATAGATCATATATATACCGTATATACTCGAGTATAAGCCGAGTTTTTCGGCACATTTTTTGTGCTGAAAAACCCCAACTCGGCTTATACTCGAGTCAATGTCTGTGTTATGGCAACTTACACTGCCACAATACAGACCAGGACCGCCGGGCTCATTACAAGCCCGACGGTCCTGTTGGGGGCTGACAGTGAGCTGTTACTTACCTTCCTGCAGTTCTTCGCGGTAGCCTCGGCCAGTTTCCCCAGCCTCAGCTCTCACCGCGGGAAGTCTCTCGGCCGTGAGCCGCGGGTCTCGCGAGACTTACACTGTAAACAGAACGGAGCTGACAGAGGAGCTGCACGGAGGAGTAGGGAGCTGCAGGAAGGTAAGTAAGAGCTCACTGCCAGCCCCCCCACTGAACTTCCAATGCCACTGGACCACCAGGGTTTCGATATTATATTTTAAGAATAATAAAATATTATATTATTATTATTTTAATATTTTCATTATTTTTTTTTAAATGTTTTTTTTGTCCCCCCTCCCTGCTTGTTGCCTGGCCAGGGAGGGAGGACAAAAAAACATTTTAAAAAAAAATTATGCAAATATTAAAATAATAATAAAATAATATAATATTAAAATAATAATATTATTTTATTATTACATTATTTTAATATTTTCATTATTTTTTTTTTAAATTTCTTTTTGTCCCCCCTCCCTGCTTGTTGCCTGGCCAGGGAGGGGGACAAAAAACATTTTAAAAAAAATGCAAATATTAAAATAATATTATTAAAATAATATAATATTAAAATAATAAGATAATAATAATATTAAAATATAATAAAATTAAAATAAAATGCCCTCCCCTCATCCAGTTTACACACACACACAACACACAAACTGCATTATATACACACACAACACACAAACACTGCATTCATTATATATACACACACACACACAAACACACTCTGCATTCATTATATACACACACAAACACACACTCTGCATTCATTCTATACACACACTGTAAATAAATATTCAATTAATGTAATTTTATTGGGATCTAATTTAATTTAGAAATTTACCAGTAGCTGTTGCATTTCCCACCCTAGGCTTATACTCGAGTCAATAAGTTTTCCCAGTTTTTTCTGGTAAAATTAGGGGCCTCGGCTTATATTCGGGTCGGCTTATACTCGAGTATATATATATATATATATATATATATATATATATATATATATATATATATATAGTATAGGGTACTGGAAGCGAAGCTTAAGTTTATTGAAATTCCATTTAAAAGATCAACGTTTCAGTTCCTATCTGGAACTTTCATCAGGATCAAACATGTTTGATCCTGATGAAAGTTCCAGATAGGAACTGAAACGTTGATCTTTTAAATGGAATTTCAATAAACTGTAAGTTTTAACTCACAAAAGCCCGAGAGTGCTGATCACTACTTCACCTTATGCAATTTTTCCCTGGATTACAAGCACCCGGCCTACTACTGTCTACAAGCGTGAGTGCAAGGAAACCCTGTATGTTATATATATATATATATATATATATATATATATATATATATATATATATATATATATATATATATATAATATAATATAAGTATATATATATATATATATTTTTTTTTACACTTATTTAACTTTTTTTTATTTTTATTTCCAGCCAGCAAGGGGACCACCTGTCATTACAGGCAGCCCCCCTGCTGGCAATGCAGGAGGCAGCTATCCCGGCCATGTGATTGTGAGGTCCTTGCAAGGACCTCACTCTCACGTGGCCAGGGGGCTGCCAGGGGGTCGGACGTGCCGCTGGGGGCTCCCTGGGAGTCCCCCCAACCGCGATCGCCGGCGACCGGGTAAGTACAGAAAGACCGGAGGGCGTACTATTACGCCCGGCGGCGTTTAGAGCCGCCTAAAATATGGGGTAATAGTATGCCCTCTGGTCTTAAGGGGTTAAATCACTTTGTTTCTGTTTATGCAGCCCTAGCCCTAACATAGCAGGGGATAAGAAAATCTTAATTAAACAGAACTTGCAATAAAGAAAACCTAAATAGGGCTCTCTTTACAGGAAGTGTTTATGGAAGGCTGTGCAAGTCACATGCAGGCAGGTGTGACAAGGGTTCATAAACAAAGGGATTTAACTCCTAAATGGCAGAGGATTGAGCAGTGAGGCTGCTGGGGCATGTTCTATACACCAAAACTGCTTCATTAAGCTAAAGTTGTTCAGGTGACTATAGTGTCCCTTTAATGAAGCAGTAGATCTCCCTTTAAACTATAAAGGGATTGTTGAATCCAGATTTTGATATATTTTTCAGCTGTTATTTCCTCTGACCCCTAACTAACTTCTGTTCTGTTACACATACAAATAGTCAACAGACTAAGAGGCTAAAATGCAGCGGGGAAAAAATATACAAATATACGGCTTCAGTAGCAGTAAACTTTTATAGTGGGTGTTCAAATGGCAATGGAAGAGTTAAATATTGTCCACTTATTTTAAATAAGATCAGCAATTCAACTTATCGATGTTAATGTCAGTTGGGGATACAAGTATCCCTTCATTAAACAAACACACACATTCCCAAAAAGGTTGTAAGGTTAACAGACCAAAAGACAAATCTATATTCCCGTATTTCAGTCCAATTACGTTCCTCTTCTCATTAGAGAATCTCATCACTAGAGCAATGGCTTGCAAACCGAACTACACAAAGACAGAACATTCTATATTGCAGCCATTTTGTTCACTGGCTAATAAGAGTGCCATTTTGAGCCATTCACAGCAGGGCGCTGACTTTGCATATTTCCATTCCCTCATTTGCAAAAGGTTTCAGGGTAGTGCAAAATTATATTACATTTTTTTTTTCCTCAAGAAGTAAATAGGTGCTATTTAATTAAATATCTTGCTTGATGTTAAGGTTAAGGTAAGGAATGCACTTGTATAAAAGGACATTATCATCCAGTTTATCCAATTACTTGAGTCGGTAAATGTCAGTCCACGACATCTGCTGTATGGCACAGTTAAAGATCGAGAAAAACAATATCAAAAAGCAGTATTCAGACAAAATTAAACCCTTTCATCTAGCGAGTGCTTCTAAGAATCTATAGGCAATGGTTTTAACAAATTCCATTGCGCTCAGACAAATTATTGTGCTCTTTTATTGTCGGTCTAGTAAATACAGGCAGCAATAAGTGAACATTGCACTGTGAAATACAATGAACTAATACTACTGACAAAGACCGTCTTTATTGCAAGATTTATGAAGGTGAAAGTTCCTGAAGATCTAAGTAGTCCTCAATACTTTAATATATGAATTTGCTAACGGTCGTTGAGAAAACCTTTGTCCTTAAATGGGTTACTTGCTGATAAAATCTCCCCAAAAAAATCTTTTTTAGTGTTGTAAACATTTACCAAAATATCTGACTTCCACAAGACCTACAGAACATGAACATATAGCAAAATAAAGATAATTTCAAAATCCTTTCATGGATTTAAAAAAAACAAACAAAAAAACCACCCTAATCATTCTCAACAAAACATACCTTAATTTTACACATCAATCTGAACCACCCACCCCTCAATGACTTGTTGGTTTCTCGATTAAAATTAAAACGTGGATGGGTCATCATCCAGTGGAATCTTATCACAGGTGTAAAACCTAATAGGTTTTTATAACAAAACAGCGCAGTAATTATGGCTGTAAGTAAGGGGCCTAGAGATTCGTTTCATGAATAATCCTTCTCACTTTGAGAAAATTAACAGCTGTTTTATGGTGTATCAAGTCATTTCATCGAGTAAGATGGCACAATTAGACGCAAGTCATATAGATCAATAATGGTGGTGTGAAGAAGCAGCTGTGACTATGCAAGGGACTTAAATGCTGAAGTTGTGGTTCATTTGTCAGCATTTAGTCAATGCAGAGTATAGAAGTCTTGCTACATAAGCCTCACTAACACTGCAAGATTGGCCTGAATGCAAAAAATAGATTTTTAAACAATCCTGCCTTTACCACTCTCATCAAGATTGCCTAATTGTTGTATTTACCAGTCTCTTATTCTCAGTAAGCAGATTGGAACTCTAATTACCATTAATTCTTTATGCAAATATATTCATTGCATTCCACTGATAAACATGTTACTAGTAGACATTTAGATGTGTAGCATATGCAAGATTTTACATACATGGTTCTTTAGTAACATAAGAATTGTCTAACGTTCAACATTTTAGATCAAATTAGCCAAACTGCAAACCGACTTGGGAAATATTTCAAATGAAGCTACTTTGACCTCAAATTTGAAATTCACTGAACTCCCAACAATACTCACTATTGTTAAATAACCCTGGAAGCGTCCACAAACTTAATGCAATTAAAAGAAGACACACTTACAGTCTATTAAAATAATAAGAATGGGATGGACCATTTAAAAAATATTTCATAGTAGAATGTTTTTATAGAATTTTAAGTCTCACTCTCATCAATTCTCCACTTTATATTCTGAGCCGAAAGTCAAAGAAATTCATTTTTCTATTGTCATAATAAAACTCATGAAAACCTTGACACAAGTAAAATGTTTAAGGTAAGCCAATTAAATTTGCATTAGAAATGTAATGCTCAACAGTTACAAACAAAAAAAAACCAACAAAACTACAATTATTGCAGAATACAGTTCACACAAAAACCTACATCATCAAATTTGGTAGGAATATCTACAAAGGTAATTGGAAGTAGCAGCATTAAGGAATGGACAACAATGGAAAGCTACCGATTTCACCAGTTTGCATGTGTGCAGCTGTAACACGCAACTGTGAGTAACAACAAACAGGACAGCTGGTTCAAAGCACAGTTGGGACTCTATCTACATGGCTCCCATCCATAGATTTGAATGGCATAATTTCTGCATGAAGAAAGAAGGGAAATAAATGCATTTGGAGATTACACAATTTTTTACGTTTTCATTCATCCTTTATAAAATTATTTGGGAAGTGAACATCTTTAGACAGTATAGGATGCCCTTTACCGTGCAATATTATACACAAGGTCTGAAATGTTAGTATAAAAGTAAAAATGCAGTTTCTCACACACAAAGTAGGGTGTGACATTTAAAAATGTTTAAATACCTTGCTTATTGCAAAGACCCTGAATGCATTCCTAGCAGTACAGTTTACTAAAAATGGCAACTGGATGTAAAAAGATGACTCCACTTGAGCATATTACCTACATAAAGTAAATTCAGCTAAATCATTTCATATAAAAGGTATTTAATAAAAGGTTGCTATAGCAGTATTAATCACTGGAATACCAATATAATGCTGCTAGTGAACTGGTAGAGTCACTCCACCACTGTCCCTGGCTATAAGAATAATATGACACATTGAAACTTCCTGTACCATTTGAAGCAAGGGGCGAGCTTACATTGTCAGCCATTATGTTATGGACAAGCTTCTGGAAGAGAAATGCATTCCTCTACAGGCTGGTAATCACAACGAGATTATAATTTAGGTTGATTGATGCTTTATGGGCTAGCTTTCATACTGCAAAAATACATGAAAATAAAATAAGTTTGTACTCTATTTGGGTATTGATGGAGTTAACTCCAACTTCAAAATATTGTTATAGTAGTTCTGTTTCATGCAGTTTTTACTGCTTAGTTCCTAACTTTCCCCTGGGGCACTTACCAGGGTCCTGAACTGAGGGCTTCACCAACCTCTGGGGGAGCGCCTAATAGCCCTGATGTTTAGACATGTTTGTTATGCTTGTTCAATTGAAAAACTCCAACGTATTCACATAGGATCAGAGCATTTTGTAAAAAATAATATGGGTGAAGGAATACTGACCAACATCACCAGCTTTTGTTAAAAAATCAACTGTAATTTTGCACACAATGATTAACTCTGCAGTGATTTAAAATGCTTAGGAAGCAGCTAGTATGAAACAGATATTGTGCATTCAAATAATTCTGGGTGGTGGTGGCAGAGTTTGATATACCTGTTCTACATACATTACATTACAGGGGGTGACTGTGGGACATTCCATAAGGCAGATATTCACCAGTGAGAAACATGCTGTTAACATGTGGTTTCGCAAACTTATGTATTGTATTGAATCCTACATAAAGAGACGCTGCACCACTACGCAAAAACTTTATTACAGGCAATATACTGTGATTATCTGCATCCGGACTGTGTTGTATTCACATATGGATCCCAGTAGAAGAGAACAACTGAACATGTTGTGAATATCTTTAGGAACTCAGATATTTATTTAAACATTTTTAAATATAAAAAAAAAAAAAATGTCCATATTCTCAGCATTCAAGTGCGATGTTGGAGTGTCCTCTTTATGTAAGGGGTCACCTAATTCTGTAAG